ACTAGGACTGTGGCTGTCTTGGGGGTCAGCTTCGGCCTTCTGGGGCCGGCTTGCGGGCCTCTTGGGGACCTCGTAGGCCGTCTTTTGCAATCTCTGGTGTCTCTCTGGCCGTCTTGGAGCGTCGGAAGCCGAGCAGGCGAGAACGCTAAAACCGACTTAAAGGAGACACCGATGATGGGCTCCTGGAGGTCCTCTTGGCGCCATCTTGGGGCGTCTTGGGGGCCCCTCGGGCCGTCTAGAGGGCTTCCTGGGTAGTCTTGGGATCGTCTTGGTCTCTCGTGGAGCCATCTTCGCCGTCTTCGAGGCATTTTAGAGGCCATATTTGGCCATCTGTTGCGTCTTGGAGGTCATCTTGGCCGTCTTGGGGGCCGCCTTGGGAGGGGGCCAATGAAGACCAAACTTTTGGCGGCTCTTCGGTTGGCTGGCGGGCTGGTCTGGAGGCCAGTGGGCAGCCTTAAAACATTGAAGCATCAAACGTTCGGCATGCCAGGCACCGCTTTGATAAATCAACAGGGGGCGGCGGATTGAATACCCCTACTACGAATCATCGTCGCCCCCTGCCTTCTGGGAGCTCCTAAGTGGCCGAACGTTGTAGCCAGAGCTCGGTCAAGCTATCGGACTATGTGTTTCCCCGGCCCTTTTGGAACCCCTTTAATGGAGCAGGCTGAGGAGCAATACGACATGATAATAACATAAGGATTGTACAGATTACGATCATTATTTTTAATACTGACAGTAAGTATACACTGAATACTACGAGTAACAATCTCAACTCAAATAACAATAATATCAGTAACATAATAATGCGAATGCACATACAAAGGCGAGTAACGAGCATGATACTAATACACCTAATGGTAATACCACTAATACTACTGATAGTGACCACAATTATAGTAATAGCAAGCACAATACTGATACGAATAGTACGAATATAAAATAAGTAGTACGATTGTCATGCAATAATTGTTGTAATTAGAAGAAGGCCACTAATAATACACATCATCATACAAGAAAATAATAAGAAGAGGAAAAGGAGGAGGAGGAGGAGGAGGAGGAGGAGGAGGAGGAGGAGGAGGAGGAGGAAGACGAGGAGGAGGAAGATGAGGAGAAGGAGGAGGAGGAGGAGGAGCATGAGAAAGAGGAAAGGGAGGACAAGCAAGGAGGAGGAGGAGGAGGAGGAGGAGGGCGCGGAAGAGGAGGAGACGTCTTGGAAGCCTCTTGGGGCACTCTTGGTGCCTCCTGGGAGCTTTCTGGAGGGCCTTTGGAGGTTCCTTGGGAAGCTCTTTCGCCGTCTGGGAGCTTTCCTGGCCCGTCGGATACCGTCTCGGGGGCCTTTCTGGCCCGACTTGGGTCCCTCTTGAGGCGCTTCGGGGCCATCTTGGGGGCCATCTTGAGCGTCTTGGAGGTCTCCTGGGCGGTCTTGGGGCCCTCTTGAGGCCGTCTTGGGGGCCTCGGCCGTCAGGGGACCATCTCGAAGGCCTCTTGGGCGCTTGTGGGGCCATCGTGGTGGCCTCCAGGGGCCGCCCTGGGACCAGAGGGCAAGACCGGACAGGACGAGACGAGGCACGACACGAGGGAGGCTCGGGCGGGTGGCGCTGGGGGGTGGCCCAACATGGGAGGTGAATGAGAAGGGCCCGAAAGGGACCCTTCTCTTCACCCCCCACCCCCCATTACCACCCGCCCGAGAGACGTAACGAGACACGCCAGGACAGCCCCCTGGCTGGCCTACCATGGCCCCCAGGCGTTTCAAGAAGGTTGCTGAGAGGTCAACATGTTGAAAGCAAAATGTTGAATTCAACGAGTGTTGACGCTTCGCGTATCCCCACCAGTTGTATTGCAAGCGAGCTGCCCCCCTCAGGGGCTGTGTGAGATGGATCCCTCTTGTGGTTTTTCCTACGTCAAGTCCTACACGCCCTCAGCGGTCACTTGTCAGCTTCGCTGCCTGTGACCTTGCCGCGCCATTTTGGCTGCGTATAGCTCCTTGGTTCAATTTGTGCATCGGCACTGCCCCCGGATCCTGGTCCTGGTTGCAGTTTGCATCGCCCGTCGGCAAGGTTTCGGGCCCTGCCCCACTTCCTGGCACCACTTCGCGCAGCCTGGCAGCTTAGGCAGCTTAGGCAGCTTGGTTTCGGCCGTCGGCCCCCGTGCGCTAGGCACTTAGGTTCGCGCGTAGCCCGCCCGACCTATGACACTGCTGGCGCGCTCGCCTGCGGCCGCGATTGAAAAGTATCCCCACCAGTTGGTGGGATGCATCTCCACGTGGATTGCTCATGAGTGGTTTAGCCTTCTTGTTCAACCACTTACGGTCGCCACTATTGGCATGCGGCACACTTCTGGTACGCTGGACTGCTTGCTCAGCCCCGCGCCATGCCGTGCTCTGCTCGGTGGCACGTTTACCTCTGGCGCCTGGCGCGACAAGGTACAGTTCGTTTGCCCTCCTGGTGGTCTCACCCCTGGGGCGGTTGCACTTCAGCCGCCTGGCACACCTGGCAGCTCTTGCAGCCCTGCCTTCAGCCCTCGGCGCCGCCCGGCGTCCCTCGGCGGCAGTCCGGCAGCCATTAGTGCGCGCTAGGTAATTAGGTTTCGCTCGTAGCCGCGCCCGGGCTGACTTCTCGCGCCGCCTGCGCCTTCGCTTGCGGCCGCGATTTCAGAACATCCCCACCAGTCTCCTCGTCGACGTGCCGCTCTGAGTGCTTCGCCTACGCCAGGCTGTGCTCTCGCCCTGTGGTTGCCTTTGCAGGTGGCTTAGCCTGCCCACGCTTGTTCGTCGTCCGGCTCGTTTTGTGCGCCCGCGGACCAACAAAAACGTAGCCCCACCAGTCCATCTAGAAACGATGCCCGGGGGATCTGGGGTGGTCAGGGAAATGGGGGAAAATGCACAAGAGCAGAGGGCGGAGGAAGCCGCCCGATACCCCAAGGGGAGGATGTTGGAGGAGAAAGACGCGGAGGAGGAGGAGGGGGAGGAGGAGGAGGAGGGCGAAGAGGAGGAAGGAGGAAGAGACAGTGGACAAGGAAGAGGAGGAGGAGGAGGAGGAGGAGGAGGAGGAGGAGGAGGAGGAGGAGGAGGAGGAAGAGGAGGAGGAGGAGGAGGAGGAGGGGCAGGAGGAGGAGCAGGAGCAGGAGCAGGAGCAGTAGCAGGAGCAGGAGCAGGAGCAAAAGCAGGAGCAGGAGCAGGAGCAGGAGCAGGAGCAGGAGCAGCAGGAGGAGGAGGAGGAGGAGGAAAAGGCATCTTGGCGAGCCCAAGGCCGTACGTCTTTGAGCGTCTTGGGTGCCTCGCGCATTATCTGGAGGCCTTTGGGGGGTCTCTTGGGAGCTTTTTGGGGTCTTCCTGGACGCCTCTTGGGGCCCGTCTGGGCGCCTTTTGGGGCCCTCTCGGAGCGCTGTTGGGAGCCTTGGGAGCGCTTTGGGGGCCATCTTGGAGGGGATCGATCAAAGAAGAGGGGTTGCCCAATTCCCCCACCACCACCACCCCGGCCCCCCCTCCCTTCGGGAGGCCCAGAAGTCGCCTCTTGGGGTGCTCTTGGAGCGCTCTTGGGCGCTCTTGGGGCCGTCTTGGGGCTCTCTTCGGTCTCTCCTGGGGCCCTCTTGGGCCATATCGGAGCCATCTTGGGGCTTCGGATGTCCATCGGAAGCGAAAAGGCGAGAAAACAATAAACATTGATGCCCCGCAGGTTTGGGAAGGATTGTGGCTTCTTGGGTGCCTCCTTGGAGGTTTCGGAGGCGTCTCGGAGCCGTCTTGAAGCGTTCCTAGGGCCTCTTGGAGTATCCTGTGAGCCAACTTGAGGCTTTGGGACTATCCTGAGCCATCTTGGAGGCCGTCTTGGGCTCTCTGAGGTCCTCTTGGAACCATATTGGGCGAACAAGTCTTCTGACGCCTCGCGGGGCGCCCCGCCCAGGTCCAGGTCCAGGGGAGGGGGTAGGGGGGATGGGTCAAGAGTCCCCCTCCCCGCCCGCAAGCCGTCTCGCTCACTCCCACCCGCCCTCCCAACACATACGTAGCACCTGAGCCTGGCCCGAGCCTCAGCATATTCAGCAGTCGTCTGTGGATGGGCAGCTACTGGGGGCCAATCCGCTGCCGCTGCCGCCGCCGCCGCCGCCCCCCGCTGCCAAACCGCCGCCGCAGCCGCTGCCGCCACCGCCACCGCCGCCGCCGCCGCCGCCGCCGCCCCCGCCGCCGCCGCCGCCGCCGCAGCCGCCGCCACCGCCGCCGCAGCCGCCGCCGCCGCGGCCAAATGCACTCTGTATTGTTTTTTGACAGGGATGGTGGGGGGGGGCCGCAGCTTCCTAATTTGGAGGCAGAGTGTGTGTTTGCATAGTTTTTTACAGGGGATGGTGGGGGGGTGTCGGCATGGACCCTGGTTGGCCCCCAGTCGCCTGGGGGAGGGGGTGTATATTAATAGGGAACAGTGATGAACCCTTCCCCGAAGGGGAAGAAGGAGGTTGGAAGAGGAGCCTCCCTAAACCACCTACAGAGAGCTGGTAGGATTTGACGGTTCTCGGTTTTTCGTTCCCAGAGAGTCCGTGAGGCCTCAAGATGGCTTCAAAAGGGCCCGCAAGGGAGTCCCAAGACGGGCCCAGGAACGAACCATGACGGCCCAGAGGTGCCGAAGAGGGCCCCAAGACAGGCCCGAGAGGGCTTCAATAGGGCCACACGCATTCCAAAGGAAAATGTAGCTGGCACAAAACGCGGCCGCGGTAGGCGTTAAAGGCCCAGAAAAGCTCCCTGAAGCTCCCAGGAGGCTTCACTGTGCTGGGGGAGGTCTTTCTGCGTGGCGTAGGGAGAGTAAAACCATCCCTGTAGAGGAACACGTGGCTTAAACATATAAGCCCAGAGGCCCAGCGGCATTCGATGCGTGCACATGTACGCGTAACTTAGTTTGTTCCAAAGTACGCAGGCATGTGGCCCAAGTCACCAGCGCAACCTGATTGGGTTTCTTCTTTCCAGCTGTCATCCAGACGCTGTTGGCCAGCAGTCCCTCGTCCCACAAGAAATATCCATGAACAAAGTTGGCTCGCTCCTTTTGCTCTACACGGCGCTTGAGCACATCAGCCTTGCCAGTAGTGCAGCTGTTGGGCAGCATAACAAGGAGATCGACCCAGGCCTCAGCACTCGCACGACAAGATTCATGCGAAAAGCTCGTGCCAGAAATCAGACGGCAATTGATACCGAAGGGGACCGTATGATTGCTCTCGTGGGTTCTGATCGGTATCATTATCATTCTCCGGAGGTGGCCTATCCGGATCAGGGTGGTGAGCTTGACCTGGGAATTACGCTGCATGGAGGGAAGCGAGATGATCTCTATGACGAAGGTCACGATGAATCATTGCATGACGAGGGGTTACTGACTGATCTCGATGGTTCCGGTTCAGATGATGTGCCCGACACAAATGCTTCACTATTCGGGGAGGACGGTGACCTCCCGCCTGACATCTACGATGATTTCGAGCTACCTCCGTTCCCCAATCAAAGCTTCGTGGAGGACAACGTTACCAATGACGAAACTTCGGGGCTTAGTTGTGGGTCCATCCAGCGTTTGGTTGGGAACACGAACCACAAAATAATTCCCGATAGCAGCATCGTAGCTTCGAGTTATTGGCATAACAGGGGCGACCATGGCCGTGGACAGATGTGGCGCACCCGCCTAAATAACCATGGAACGACTTGGTGTGCCCACCACAATCACAGGAATCAGTGGGTCCAATGGGACTTCGGAACAGATAAGATTGTCACGAAGTCCTTGAATATGGGAAGGCATAATCACCCCCAGTGGGTCAGAACGTACAAGATTCTGTATAGGTCGAGCAAACATAATTGGAAGTGGTATCCGCACACTTTGCACGGTGGCCATTGGCGCTGGTGCAGGGTAAACAACTTGCGTCCAGTACTTGCGCGTTGGATCAGGATCTACGTGCAGTCGTGGCATAGGCACATCAGCATGAGGGCTGACTGGGAAGGCTGCAGCCCGCAGAGCGTTGGTCCAAGGGGTTCCCGTGGGTCTCCGGGCCCCAGAGGATCACCGGGCCATAAAGGACGTCGAGGACCTCCAGGACAGCAAGGGTTTAAAAGGCATCGATGCCGCCACAAACTGGACCTTGCATGGGCCCGTTGTGTCGGGGCTCCAGAGACGGGGGTCAATACTGACGAGGGTCAGCCTGAGCGCTGGGTCTTTCAGGATCCTGCAGGGCCAGGGTTGCACTGACCCGGGCTTGGGTGCAGGATCCTGCAGGATCTTACAGGATCTTACAGGATCCTGCAAGGCCTGACGGACCCGTCGGTAGATCGCCAATGGTGTGCGTTCTGACCAGGATTCCGAGGCAAAGCCAGGCGCGCCAGTGAGGGCCCCCCCGGGACCCGGATCTCCGCCGACTCGGTTTTTCCCCCACATGTTTCGTGGGGTTCTGGTTTTCATCATCTGCCGCATCGCACCCGCCTTCTCTCTCGCACGCACCTCGCTCTCTCAAGTCGCAGGGTCAGGCGTGGCACTTTCTCGACACCGGAGGCGGTGCGCAGGGGGTGGTCCCTCAGCGCCGTCTCTATACGCGCCAATGTCGCAGGGCCTCGCATGCGTGGCACTTTCTCGACACCGGAGGCGGTGCGCAGGGGTTGATCCTTCAGCGCGGTCTCTATACGCGCCAATGTCGCAGGGCCTCGCAGGCGTGGCACTTTCTCGACACCTGAGGGGATGCGCAGGGGGTGGTCCCTCAGCGCGGTCTCTATATACGCGCCTATGTCGCAGGGCCTAGCAGGCGTGGCACTTTCTCGACACCCGAGGCGGTGCGCAGGGGGTGGTCCCTCAGCGCCGTCTCTATACGCGCCAATGTCGCAGGGCCTCGCATGCGTGGCATTTTCTCGTCACCGGATGCGGTGCGCAGGGTGTGGTCCCTCAGCGCGGTCTCTATACGCGCCAATGTCGCAGGGCCTAGCAGGCGTGGCATTTTCTCGACACTGGAGAGGGTGCGCAGGGGGTGGTCCCTCAGCGCGGTCTCTATACGCGCCAGTGTTGCAGGGCCTGGCAGGCGTGGCTCTTCCTTCTTGACACCAGAGGGGTGCGCAGGGGGTGGTCCCTCAACGCAGTCTCTATACGCGCCATTGTCGCAGGGCCTAGCAAGCGTGGCACTTTCTCGACACCAGAGGGGGTGCGCAGGGGGTGGTCCCTCAGCGCGCGGTCTCTATACGCGCCAAAGTCGCAGGGCCTAGCAGGTGTGGCACTTTCTCGACACCAAAAAGGGTGCGCAGGGGGTGGTCCCTCAGCACGGTGCCTATACGCGCCAATGTCGCAGGGCCTAGCAGGCGTGGCATTTTCTCGACACCGGAGGGGGTGCGCAGGGGGTGGTCCTTCAGCGCGGTCTCTATACGCGCCGATCTTGGAGGGCTCAGCAGTCGTGGCACTTTCTCGACGTCGGCGCCACGGGCCTCCGCAGCCGCGGACGGACCTGCCGGCTCCGGCCAACACATATCGTGCCACCATTCGGAGGGAGAGGGAGGGCAAGACATTTGGACGCCCGAAATGGGTACGGAAAGAATGGGTACAATGCCCAACAGCAGTTCCTGTTCATTCTGAACAGGACTCGCTGTCGGTGTCGCCGCGGCCTGTGTCCATTTGAGACAGAAGGCCGCCTGCCCAACAGCGGCCGCTGTTGGTTTGGGACAACATTTGTTGTTGGGCATTGTGCCCATTGTTTCCGTGCCCATTTCGGGTGTCCAAAAGACAGGAGGCGGAGGACGGAGGAAGCGAGGGGAGGAGGGAGACTGCACGTTCGAGTCGAGCGCCTGGGACGTCCAGAGCCGCAGGTGGACCTGCTGGCCAGCCGGGCCCCGGGGCCGCCGAGCGGGCCCGGGGGCCGCCGAGCAGTTTTCTTCCTCTCAGATCTGATCAAAGGCTTGCCGCCGAACATCGCGTTCCATAGTATTCGTGGCCCCGTGGGCGCCGCAGATCGCTTTCCATGCGCCTTGGACGAAAGCTTATCTGACTCCCTCTCCTCTTGGCTGGCGCCACCAACGGTATCGGCGGGGCAACGGCCACCAACATCATTCTCACATGCTTCACTTCAGCTATCATCACTCCCAGACCTCCTCGCGCCGTGAAAAAATCACGACGGGAGGATTTTCGAAATTCTCGGCTTCCGGGGGCCCTCGCCGGGCCTCGGGGCCGTCAAAAAACGACTCAGGACGAAAAGCCGGTCCTGGGGAAGGGGTCCAGACCTCTGGGGATCGACGTTGTGAAAAAAACACGACGTCGGGGGTCTGGGCTCCAGCCATCATATAAGCATGTGGGGCTTCCCGGGAGCGTCATTCGAGCCTCGGGCCCTCCATGGCCCGTCCACCATGTCCCTGGGACCGGCTTTTTTCGTCCTGAGTCGTTCCCCGATAGCCCCGGGGTCCGAGGCTGGCCTCCCGAGGCCGAAACGGTTATATATATACATATATATATATGTATAACATATATGATACATATACTGTTGTATATATATATATACATATATATATACATATTAAAAGTATGGATATTCTGTATGGGACCCTTCTCGAGGTTTGGGAAGGCCCCGGGAGGCGAGATCGAGCGAAGGGTCTCGGTGTCAGCGCGCTCCTCTTCCGAGTCAGAAAGACAGCTTTCGGGTTGGGAGGATGGGGCTGGGAGGAATGGCCAGATCATCTTTCAATGTCGCGTATGTTGAACTTGCTGATTACGCAGTCGCGCCCTGTACCTTCCCAGCCACTTCCTCCCAGAAAAATGGTTGTCCTTCTGGTCGAAAAATCCGTTACAAAAATGTATACAGACACCCGCCATTGGATTGTTCCTGGGCCTCACGGAAGGGTGGCGGTGTATAAATCGCTCTTGAGGACCAGCGGCTTTAGGGAAGGCCACCCCCACTGAAGGTACGGGCGAAATTCGTCGGCGGGTGTCTGTGTATGCTTACATCTGCGTGGGCTGAAGGACATCGCGGTGCAAGTGCTCGAGGTGCTACGGGCACTCGCGGTGCCATTGGGAACAAAGGAGCCACTGGGCCTCCAGGCTCTCGTGGTGCTGCTGGTGCCCAAGGCCCCCCCGGAGCCCGCGGTGCCGCGGGTGCTCGCGGTGCTCCTGGCAGCCCCGGAGGCGTTGGCGCCAGAGGTCGGCGATTCCAAAGGGCACGTCGGGACGATCGAAACGGGTACGGAGACAACTCAGGGATCCGAGGATCAGATGTTTTTCTATCCGGCGTTTTTTTTGTGGATTTCGGCTTCCTGGGCCCATTATCGGGCCCATGGACCACGAAACATGGATCCAGGACGAAACCACCCCCGGGGAAGGGGTCGGGGCCGCGGATTGAAATAATCAAATCGGCGGATGTCTGGCAACGGGTACAAAGTCCAGCAGCAGTTCTTGTTCATTCGGAACACGGTTCGCCGCGGTCGTTGTCCATTGGAGGCAGAAGGCCGCCTGCCCACCAGCGGCCGCTGTCGGTTTTGGAGGACATTTGTTGATGGGCATCAAGCCCATGTTGTCCGTGCCCATTTCGTGCGTCCAAAGTGTGGTTACGCCAGGGTGCGGTTTGCGATCCCCAGAGATCCGACGCTCTATAAGAATTGCATCGGGCGGTTTCGGGTTGTTTTCGGCATCCGGGGGCCCTCGCCGGGCCTCGGGGCCGTCCAAAAACTGGCCCCAAGAAAGTAGCCCAGACCCCTGGCACCCACGCATCGCAAAAATTGAAGCAGTCGGATGCCAGGGTCGGCGTCGTTGGGGCCTGGGATGCACGGCGTTGTGCTCGCCGGGCCGCCTCGGGGCGCGGCGGAGTGCTTTGTCGAGGTCCCGTCCGCCCCCCTAGGCTGCCGGTTGCAAACCACACCCTTTGCAAACCACACCCCTCGGAGCCGCCGAAGAGGCGCAACGGGCGCCAAAGGATCAAAGAAGGGAAACCGGCACAAACAAAAACTTCCAGAGGTTCGCGCGGAGTTCTTGGATCTGCGCTTGGCTCCCCTGGCGGCGCCTCCAGCGCTGCCCTTGGCCCGCTCCGGGGGCCCAGCGCGCCGATCCAAGAAGCCCGCGCGGACCTCCGAACATCTTGTCGGCGCCGTTTGTCTCTTCTGCAGGAGCGGCGGGGGCCACGGGAGCTGCCGGCACCAAGGGCGCGACGGGCCCGCCGGGACCCAAAGGGAGCACGGGGGCCACCGGCGCCAAAGGTCTGGACGCCCGAAATGGGTACGGAAAGAATGGGTACAATGCCCAACAGCAGTTCCTGTTCATCTTGAACAGGATTCGCTGTCCACGCCGCCGCGGCCTGTGTCCATTCGAGACAGAAGGCCGCCTGCCCAACAGCGGCCGCTGTTGGTTTGGGACAGCATTTGTTGTTGGGCATTGTGCCCATTCTTTCCGTGCCCATTTCGGGCGTCCAAAAAAGGGGCCACGGGTGATCGCGGTATCCCTGGGCCTGCGGGGGCCGCCGGAGCCAAGGGGGCCGACGGAGCCAAGGGGGCCACCGGACCCAGAGGGGCGACCGGAGCCAGAGGAGCGCCAGGAGACAAGGGGCCGACTGGGAAGACAGGAAAAATGGGAGCCATGGGGATCCCTGGAGACAGAGGGCAGGCGGGGAGCACCGGGCGCAGAGGAGACAAGGGAGAGAAGGGAGACTCCCCCGAGAAGATCGATTGTGTCTGGTCTGCGTGGTCAGAGTATACCGGGTGCACTAAGTCTTGCGGGGCACGAGACGATCCTGGCATTCAGGTCCGATACCGCAGTTTCAATGTCACTCCTCAGAATGGCGGAAAAGATTGCGATGGCGGTTTCACGGAGACGAAGAAGTGCGATTTTAACCCGTGCCCCACGACCACAACCACCAGCACATCCACGACCACGACCATCACCACGACAAGCACCACGACAACGACCACGACATCGACGACGACAACAACTACGACCACCACCACCACGACCACGACGACCACCACTACTACCACCAGCACTACTACGACGTCGACCACGACGACTACCACGACGTCGACGACTAATACGACCACCACGACTTCTACATCCACGACGTCGACCACTACCACCACCCTGGAGCCTGGGTGGTACTACGGGCGAGCGACGAATGAGACAGTGACCGAGCTGACAGAGCTCGCCGTGGCGGGGGCTACCCGGATCCAGGTCGCCAGCGCGTCGGGCCTGAGCGCGGGGGACGTGGTCCGCCTCATCGGCCCCAGCGGCGACCCGAAGGAGGTGAACGTCGTCAGTTCCGTCGAGGTTGTGGCCAGAGAACGCCAACTGCACAACACACTTATCCCCGCCCTGACCAGGCCAGTCCTGCGCTACAGTCAAGACGCTGAAATAAGGACCGCTCTGGGCTCAGGAGGTGCTGGGTGTTTGTTTGGCCGTTCGTTCGACTGATGATGTGGAACCTGTTTGTGGCCTTGGTCCGCCGTGGGCAGAAAAGCACCCTCTGGGGGCCCCAAGAATATGCACCACCACCACGTCGATTATTCCTCTCTCCTCTTTCCAGCGAGAGGGAGGGGGGGAGGGAGGAGGTGGTGGTGTATATTTTTGGGCCCCCTAACCCTCGTTCCGCATCGTGCATTCCTTCCAGTAGCAAGGTGACTGCAGGGGTCGGTGTACATCCCTGCCCTGGTGGCGCGCACACCGATCCTGATTCCAGGAAGGGCCTGGCCAGGATCAAAGTGTACCAGGAAGCTGGACATACATGACGCGGCTGGCCTGGGCGGGAACCTGAGATACGCGTAGCTGCTTGTAGCTGCGCCCGTTGGCCCTCGCATAGCCAGGCACGCTGGCTCTGAGCGTGTGTGTGTGTGTGTGTATGTGTGTGTGTGCGTGTGTCCAGCAAGTTGCCTTCACGTGTTCTGCGTGACAACTTCGCCATGTGTGTGCGCGTGCTCCAGCTTCCTTGTACAGTACCACGACCGACGACCATATCCTATCCATGCCACCGCGGTCTGGCACCGAGGCGTGATCTCATAGATTCGCTCTTCGCGGGCCGTCCGGGCACAGTCGCCTTGTATCCATAGGGTCGCGGCTGAGGAGTCCAGTCCGCGAGGCAATGGATATGGTCCCCGCCCGCGACGCACAAAGATCTTGAGCCCAGGGTGGGCCCGGCAGGATCGAAGGGGTATCGGAGGTTGGGGGGTGAGTCCGACGTGAAACGGAGACCCCCCCTATATCGGGAAATCGATTTCGATTTCGGGTTCGCGTCGTGCGTGCCGTGCGTGCGTGCGGACGAGGCGAAGCTGCGTGGGCGGGCGAGAGAAAATCCTCCTGTGACTGGGTCGCGGCTGGACCAAATGTTTCTCCTCCAGCGGCCGGTGGCCCGCGGTGTCCCGCCGGTGTCCCGCTGGTGTCCCGAAATCCTCCTGCAGCACATGTGGCTGGGCCGCGGCGCCGGACCAAATGTTTCTCCTCCGGCGGCCGGTGGCCCGCGGTGTCCCGCTGGTGTCCAGCTGAATCCTCATGTGGCCGGGCCGCGGCCGGACCAAAAGTCTCTCTACCCGGCAGTCGGTGCCCCGCGGTGTCCCGCTAGTGTCCCGCTGGTGTCCCGCCGTGGCTGCGGCGAGCTATCCAATGCAAGTCTACATGCAAACCGAAAAGCACATCGAAATGCAAATCGACATGCACATCCAAATGCTAATCGTAAGGCGCCGTGGGTTGCGTGTTTAACAAAACGGCGCCTGCGGCGAGCTTTCCACTGCAAGTCGACATGCAAATCGAGATGCAGATCGAAAAGCACATCGACATGCACATCGATATGTCGACATGCAAAGCGAGATGCAGATCGAAAAGCAAATCTACATGCACGTCGATATGAGCACCACAGGCATCGTCAGAGCAACAGTCACCACTGGTGCCCATTGGTGCCCTCCCCTAAACCTCCTTATCGCCCGCAGGGGTACAGACATCAGGCGGAGTGAAGTTTGTCAATCCTCGCCAGAAGTTTCGACCCATGCCCCAGGGACAGTTGTTCGTCCTGGATTCTTCCACCCCATATCGTAAATATGGGTTCCTTGTTATTCGTGTCACGCCTCCGCCTCCTCGCTCAGCCTCCTTCGACAAGTCACACCCAGACCCACTAAGACTCATACTCATCATACTCAGACTTACTCACGCTCAAGCTCACTATACCCAGATCCACTCATACTCAGACACGCTCACACTCAGACTCGTACACACTCAAAGTCATAATATGGAGTGGCCTTCGACCCACCCCGCCACCGTGCCTTGGTTGCACGTCAGTCAAAGGCCTCCTGGATGCCTGTGAGGATCTCTTGGGAGGCCTCGCGGGTTCCTCTTTTAGGCGGTTGTGGCGATAATTTGGGGCGTTTCGGGGGCTTTTTGGAACCTGATTCGGGCCTCTAGGCCCCTCTTGGGGCCGTTTTGGGGGCCGTCTTCAGGGCCTCTCTCGGGGGCTCTTGGGCCGTTTGGGGGCAATCTTGGGCGCCTCTTGGGCCGTCTTGGCCGCTCTGAAAACCGAAAAGGCGGCAATGCGAAAACCACACAACAACTAATGGATTTGAACGATTTGGGTCTCTTCGGCCGCCCTCCAGGGCCTCCAAGACGGCCCAAGAGGCGCCCAAGAGGGCTCCAGGACGGTCACTGTGGCCATCTAGTACCATGTTGGACATGCATGTCCTGAACAACGCGCTCTTGGCCTCTCGAAAAGACACGCAGAGACCCCCCAAGAGCGCGCGTGAGCGCCACGGTGGCGGATGTAGAGATGCATCAACATGTGTGTATGTATGTGTATATATATATATACATATATATGAACTAGTGCGTTGCGTGGGCCCAGAACCAGCCCCCCCCCCCCCTCTGGTTCAAGGGGGGGAAGTCGAGCCCCCCTTCCTCCCCCCCCCGCCCCCTTCAAGGGGGGGGGATTCGAATCCCCCACCGCAGGCCTGCGCCGTCGCCAGCGGCGGCGCCAGCGCCGGCGGCGGCGGCTGTCGGCGGCGGCGGGGAACGTCGACGAGGAAAACGATTCAAGGGGTGTTCGAAAACCCTTCCACGCCGGCGCTGGCGCAAGCGCTGGCTGGCGGCGGCGGCGGCCGCAAGGACGACGACGACGACGACGACGGCGACGACGACGGCGACGGCGACGACGACGACGGCGACGGCGACGACGACGGCGATGAGCACGACGACGACGACGACGGCGACGACGATGACGGCGACGACGACAACGGCGTCGACGACAGCGACGACGACGACGACGACGGCGACGACGGCGACAAATACGACGACCACGACGGCGACGACGACGACGAAGACGAAAACGACGACGACGACAACCACGACGACGACGGCGACGGCCGCGACGACGACCACGACGACGACGACGACGACGGCGGCGACGATTGCGACAACGACGAAGACGATACGACGACGACGACGACGGCGACGACGGCCACGGCGCTGAAAACGACGTCGACGACGTCGACGGCGACCACGACGGTGACGATGACGACGGCGACGGCGACGATGGCGTCGACGACGACGACGAAGACGACGACGAGCACGATGACGATGACGACGGCGACGAGCACGACGACGACGACGACGACGGCGGCAACGACGAGGACGACCGCGACGACGACGACAAGCACGACGACCACGACGGCGACGACGACGACGACGAAGACGACGACGACGACGACGACGGCGATGTCGTCGACGACGACGGCAACGACGACGACAACGACCACGAGCCCGACGACGGCCATGACGACGAAGACGACGACGATTGCGACAACGACGTCGGCGACGACGACGATGACGACGATGCTTGCGACGACGATGACGACGAGCACGACGACGACGGCGCCGACTTCGAGCGTGACGACGACGACGGCGACGACGACAAGGACGACGTTGACTTCGACGACGACGACGAAGACGTCGGAGACGACGACGACGACGACGAGCACGACGGCGACGACGACGGCGACGACGACAAAGACGGCGCCGACTGTTGGGGGTGCCCCCCCCGTTTCAAGCGCGCCACCGAATATTTCCATGGCGAGCGCCCGTGAAACGCGCTTCCTCGTACATATACATACGCGTATGAATGTGCATATAAACATGTATCTATGTACACACACTCGGACCCGCGCGTGCCCAATTCACTCAAACAGATCAACTCATACTCAGATCGACTCAGATTCAGGCCGCGCATATCCAGTCCCACTAGTCGACATAGTCACTCGCACGCAGACTCGCTCATGATCTGGCCGTTCATATACAGACAGGCGCACATTCAAACTCAGTCACTTGCAGACTCCTTCATATCCGTGCTTGCTCATACGCAGATTTTCCATGCTCGGACGAATGTACAGTCCGACTCCCACACGCGGTGTCGCAGGGTTTGCACTTGGACCCCCTGGGGGCTGGCAACATGTTATCAGGGGCCCACCCGTGATCACCCTTGGGGGGGGATTCAGGCGGAGTGTCTATGTTGGCGGGGCAGACGTGTCTCTGTGCAGCGAGCACCCGTCATCGCGATGTAGCAGGCGGGGCGTTGCTCACCCCGTTCCCCCTTTCCACAGGTGTTGCTGACCAAGGTGTTATGACTGGCCCGTTTGCGCCCAGATTGCTGAAACGTCTCGGGAAGAATGGCCGCTTGGGCGAGGTATGCGTCCTTGGACTATCCCGATGTAGCAGGGGCATGCACGTGGACCGCCACAAGGGGAAGCCGACCAGGGTGTCACCACGAGTCAGTTCGCGCCCATCCTGTTTGGACCTCTCAGGTGGAATGGCCGTCTTGGCAGGGTAGACGTGAAGTTGTTTTGTTGGTTAGTTGGTGTTCTCCCTCCCGAGCCCCAATACCATCGCGATGTTTCTGGCAAGGCGCTGGGGACACTTGGGGATCCTACGGTGTAGCATGCCACGGCGAATTCACGAGCCGTTCGCGCCCAGTTTGTTGGTACCTGTCAGATAGAATGGGAGCTATGGGGAGACGCGTCTTCCTTCAACGCTTCAAGATCACAGAGATGTGGCAGGCCTTGCTAGTGGGCCTCCCAAGTGGGCGCAGACCAGCGTGTTATCGCGGACCCACTCGCGCGCAGAAGTGCGGGCTCTCCAGACTGACAGTTTTGGAGGGGCAAATGTGTTTCTTGTCTGAGCCGCAAGATTGCCTCGATGTAGCAGGCATGCACTTGGGCCTCCCTAGGGGAGCGGACCAGGTGTTACCATGGTCCCGCTCGCGCCCAGAATGTTGGGGCTTCCAAAATAAGTTTGGCAGGGCGTGTTGTTTTTCACGGCTCCAAGATCATCTCGATGTAGTGGGCATCGCGTTTGGCCTACCAGCGGGCAGCCAACCAGAGCATTCTCACGGGCCCGTTCGCGCCCAGATTGCTGGGACAGCTGAGGCGGAATGGCCACTTCGGAGGGTTAGGCGTGCCCCTCTTCATTCCCCAATCAGAGCTTGCCTGTGTAGGGGTCCTAGGGGATTCATATGGTTAGGTGAGGTATGGCGCCGATTTCGGCGGCACGCCCAGGTGCCCGGGTGCCTAGGTGTCTGGGTGCCCGGGCGCCCGGGTGCCCGGGTGTCCGGGTGCCCGTTAGCCTTATAGTTCTATAGCCTTTTAGCCCTATAGCCCTACATCCCAATATCCCTACAGTCCTATAGCCTTCTAGCCTTATAGCTTTATAGCCCTATAGCCCTACAGCACTATAGCCCTTTTTGCCCTGTAGCCCCACAGCCCTCTGGCCTTACAGCCTTATAGCCCTAGAGCCCAATAGCCCTACAGCACTATAGCCCTACAGCCCTATAGCCTTACAGCCCTATAGCCCTATAGCCCTATAGCCCTATAGCCCTGTATCCTTATAACCCTATACCCCTATAGCCCTATAGCCTTATAGCCTTATGGCCCCATAGCCTTATAGTCCTGTTGCCCTATAGCTCGATAGCCCAATCGCCCCATAGTGCTATAGCCCTATAGCCCAATAGCCCTATAGCCTTACAGCCTTGCAGCCTTGTAGCCCTACAGTCCTACAGCCCTATAGCTCTATAAGCCTATATCCCTATAGCCCTATTGACCTATAGCCCTATGGTCCTATAGCTCTATAGCCCCATAGCCCTTTAGCCCTACAAACGTTATGATTGGGGCTGTTCTCCGGCATCCTAACCCCAATTTCATCGGTACGAGGCAGGCATAGCACTTGAACCTCCCAAGGTGTTGCCGACCATGATGTTATGACGTGCTCGGTTGTGCCCTGACTGTCGGGATCTCTACTAATGTAGCACGGTCGTTTAGGCGGGGCAGACGCGTCTTTGGTCAGAGTCCCCTGTAGCAGACGTGCACTTGGCACTCCTAAAGGGGGGCCAACCAGGGGCCGTCGTACAGGCCCGTTCGTGCCCAGATGATGTTGATCTTTCAGGCTGGATGTCCGTTTCTGCGGGGTAGGCGTGCCTCTTGTCAGAGCCCCAAGATCATCGCGATGCTCCAGGCATGGCACCTGGGCTCTTCAGAGGGGGAGCCGTCCAGGGTGTTATCCCAGGGCCAGTTTGCGCCCGGATTGTGGGGACTGGGGACCTCTCAGGTTCAGGGTCTGAGGGCAGGAACAAGGTTTCGGACATGTGCGACGCATTTTAGCATGTATAAAATCACCACGGCACATATCAATATGAGACATCGTTTGTGGGTGGACGATCTAAATGGCCGCTACACGTCACTCTACATGGCCCCAGGGCCCTTGCGATGCAGCAGGCGTGCGCTGGGGCCTCCGAATGGGGGGTGCCAGGGGAGACTGCACGAGCCCGGTCGCGCCCCGCTTGGAAGGACCTCTGAGTCGGGGGCGGCAAAGAGAGGGGTGATGACTAGGGGGGGGTGGATATCATGGCGGGGGCCATGATATCTCCCCAGATTTCATGGCGCCTCTTCTTGTTTCATTACTTCCCTGGCCCCCCCGCTGGGCCGCGCACATGCCGCCGGTCATGATTTGCACCCCCCCCTGTTGGACACCCCCCTCCTGGCCGCTCCCAACTGAGGCAGGATGGCAGTTCTGGGGAAGGGATGCGCTTCCCTTCGCATCACCAAGGCCCCCACGTTGTGGCAGGCACTGCGCTCGGGCCTCGGTCCACGGGGGGCATGGCATGACACGGAGGTGAACATGCAGGGGCCTCCGCGCCGAAGAGCGGCTGGTCTCCAGGGCCCGGAAGCAGGCCCTCCCCCCGGGACCGATATGGGTTCAACAGCTGCAGGCCTTTGGGAACAAGTCCGCCAGAGGCCTGTGCACGGCGGACAGGGAGCAGGCCCAGGCGTATAGCCGGTGCCGTCTCGCCCTGAGATCCGACGTTGCGAGAAATTGCAACACCGCGAACCATCACGACCGGATCCACGGACCCCGTCTTCCTGAGCCACTTTTCCAGTCGGACCGATCTCTGAGGGTCCAAGGGCCCGAATCTGGGCGACGACGCCCAGCGTGGCAAAACTTGCAACGCCTGGATCTCAAGGGCGTCCAGGCAGTCGGCGCCCTCCTCGTGGTGGAGGCCACCGGTGTCATCGCGGCGGGCAGCAAGGCCCCTTCGGCGGTGGTGCTCCCGGGGGTGAAGGGGCCAACCGGTGCTTGCCAGCCGGGTTCTGCGTTGTTCTTCTGCCTCCCTGAGGCCGTCGGACAGATCGGGATGGACAGCTGAACCAGGGGGGCCCAGACATCTGGCGTCTCAGAAAAAAGTCGAGACGGAGGTTTTTCATACTCTTCGGGTCTTCGGGGCCCTTATATACTGGGCCTCGGGATTGTAGAACATCGACGCGGGATGAAACAGCGGTCCTGGGGAAGTGGTCGAGTGGTCGGGGGCACGCGTCTCAAAATTGTTCTGGCGAAAAAACAAACCCACTTCAATCGCGTGGAAGTTGTCAGCAGGATTGCTTAATGCACAAGAACCCTTTGGGGGGGCCCGCAGTACCCCTGAAAATTTCACCAGGCAACGTCGGACAGGGCCCGGCACTCACTCACGCGACTCGAATCACACACGGGGAGGGCACGCTGTGCGCGGCGCGGAGCACGAGGGCGGGAGCAGAGGAAGTGGGCTGAGGGTTGCTTCGAGGCACGTTTAAGAGCTCAAGCGCCAGCGCGCGGGAGTTCAGGCAGGGGGCGGTGCGATTGCGCCGCGAGCTCGCGATTCCCTGGCCGGCTCAGGCTCCCGAGCGCGAGGAACTCCTTCAAGCCTAGCTTCGCGGATCCTGGCTCCTAGCTTCGTGAAGTAACCATGCAATGCGCCCCCTGCCACTGTGGCCTTCGGTGGACCTCCGCATGGGGCCACGAAGCGTGTGAGGGGCGTGCCAGAATGGACCCGAGTAACCATGCGGACCCTGCCACTGGGGCCTTCGGTGCAGCTCCCTATAAGGCCACGAAGCGTAGGAATGATGGGCCAGAGTGGACCCGAGTAATCATGCGGACCCTGCCCCTGGGGCCTTCGTTGGAGCTCCTTATCGGGCCACAAAGCGTGCTAGGAGTACGCCAGAATGGACCCGCGTAACCGTGCGTACCTTGCCACTGGGGCCTTCGTTGGAGCCCCCTATGGGGCCACGAAGCGTGTGAGGGGCGTGCCAGAATGGACCCGAGCAACCATGCGGCCCCTGCCACTGGGGCCTTCGGTGCAGCTCCCTATAAGGCCACGAAGCGTAGGAATGATGGGCCAGAGTGGACCCGAGTAATCATGCGGACCCTGCCCCTGGGGCCTTCGTTGGAGCTCCTTATCGGGCCACAAAGCGTGCTAGGAGTACGCCAGAATGGACCCGCGTAACCGTGCGTACCTTGCCACTGGGGCCTTCGTTGGAGCCCCCTATGGGGCCACGAAGGGTGTGAGGGGCGTGCCAGAATGGACCCGAGCAACCATGCGGACCCTGCCACTGGGGCCTTCGGTGCAGCTCCCAATAAGGCCACGAAGCGTAGGAATGATGGGCCAGAGTGGACCCGAGTAATCATGCGGACCCTGCCCCTGGGGCCTTCGTTGGAGCTCCTTATCGTGCCACAAAGCGTGCTAGGAGTACGCCAGAATGGACCCGCGTAACCGTGCGTACCTTGCCACTGGGGCCTTCGTTGGAGCCCCCTATGGGGCCACGAAGGGTGTGAGGGGCGTGCCAGAATGGACCCGAGCAACCATGCGGACCCTGCCACTGGGGCCTTCGGTGCAGCTCCCTATAAGGCCACGAAGCGTAGGAATGATGGGCCAGAGCGGACCCGAGTAATCATGCGGACCCTGCCCCTGGGGCCTTCGTTGGAGCTCCTTATCGGGCCACAAAGCGTGATAGGAGTACGCCAGAATGGACCCGCGTAACCGTGCGTACCTTGCCACTGGGGCCTTCGTTGGAGCCCCCTATGGGGCCACGTAGCGTGTGAGGGGCGTGCCAGAATGGACCCGAGCAACCATGCGGACCCTGCCACTGGGGGTCCTTTGGCGGAGCTCCTTATCGGGCCACGAAACGTGCGAGGGGCGTACCAGGATGGACCCGAGTTGCCATGCGGACCCTGCCACTGGAGGCTTCTGTGGAGCTCCCTATTAGGGCCATGAGACGTGTGAGTGGCGTGCCAGAGTGGACCCGAGGAGCCATGCGGAGCCTACCGCAGGGGCCGTCGGTGGAGCTCCCTATAGGGCCATGAAGCGCGTGAGAGGTGTAGCGAAACTGTGATGTGAATGATGACGGCGGTAACGAGTATGAAGGCGATGATGTTGACGACGATGAGCATGATGCTGATGACAGGGGTTAGCAAGAAGAGGAGAGGACGAGGGATAGGAGGATAATAGAAGGTGACGCGCGGCGCTTCGAATTCGAAACGAGGACCCAACGCACAGGAGGGTTGGGAAAATTGAAACGCCAGATGTCTGCGGTTGGTCCTGGGGGAAGGCCCCCGGGTCCAGGACACGATTCCTTCATGAGAACAGTGCCACCAAGCCGCCACATCCCTGGGATTTGAGCGTCGCAGTCTGCGCCCGCTCTTGGCGTCTTCGCCACATCTCCGGCACTTGGGCCTTCGCGGAGCGATCCGTTCCGCAAAAGGCAACCGAACGAAGGAGGCCGAGCCCAGGCTGTCCTGTCTAGCAAAGCGTTTTTTTTGTCCGCGGCCTCGGATCTCGGGGCGAGGGCTTGCTTGGGCTTCGAGGGCCGAGGTCCCAGGACCGAGCATAGAAACATGAGCGCGGCCCGACTTTCCCGCGGACGGAAATCAAATTCGCATGCGGCGGTCGGCGCTCCGGTGGAAGGCGCCGCTTTCGGCCAGGTCTGGGGCCCCAAGGGGTGCCCTCGCGTTCCCAGCCGCCGCCCCTGCGAACAGCGCCGGCGTCGAGACTTTGTGCCCGCGCGCACATGTTTTGAGCGTGTTTCTTCATCCCTTGGGGCACAAGGGGCATAATCCGAGCATTTTCTATGGGTGGAGGGCAAAGGGTGACATCTGAAATGCCGTTTCGATGGCTGCTCGAGGCTTGAATCTGCAAAAGGGGAATCACAAGACGGATTGATTGGCGAGGTGCAAACGCACACGTGGATTTCACCCTGAGCCCTCCACCCCTTCCCCCGCCCCTTCACATGGGCATTATAGCTCCCGTTCCCCCGCCCCTTCCCTATAACGTAACGCCCCTCCCCCCCCCCACTGCGCTCCGTGCGCTGCCGCCGTGCGCATCGGGAGCCGCATCGGCGTCCGCACAGGAATCCGCGTGGGAGCCTGGTCCACACTGGTCCGACAGGGGGAAGGAGGAGGGAGGAGGAGGAGGAAGAAGAGGAGGAGGAGGAGGAGGAGGAGGAGGAAGAGGAGGGGGGGGTAGGAGGAGGAGGAGGAGGAGGAGGAGGAGGAGGAGGAGGAGGAGGAGGAGGAGGACGAGGAAGAGGGGGAGGAGGAGGAGGAGGAGGAGGAGGAGGAGGAGGAGGAGGAGGAGGTGGATGTGGAAGGGGGTGGATGGGAGAAGAACGTCGCACTCAATTATCAGCACTTCCCTGGCGTGGCATCTAGCTCTCCGCAGCAGGTCCTCACCTACATGCTCGTTCTGCCTGTCCTGTGCACGCAGGCACTGTGGTGTACACTAGCGCTGCGTGCACGCGGATGCTGCGGTGTAGACAGGCGTTGTGGTGTGCGCAGGCGCTGCGGTCTACGCAAGCATTGTGGTGTACACCGGCGCTGTGTTGCACATGGTTGCTGCGGTGTTACACATTCGCTGTGGTGCACACCAGCGCTGTGGTGCACGCAAGCACTGTGGTGTACACAGGCGCTGCGTCGCACACGGTTGTGGCGGTGTACGCAGGCGATGTGGTGTACACGCGCTTTGGTGCACGCGAGCACTGTGGTGTACACAGGCGCTCAGGGAGCAGTGGAGAGCGGCTGGGCTACCCTGTACTGCTGGCTTCTAATCTGAAGCCCTTTTAGCTCTGAGAGATCTATCCGCGAATTGCTTTCCGAATAGAAGTTGTTGTAGGGATCGCATACAGTCGAGGCGAAGTTCTGCCCTTTCTCACGCTGGAAACTGACATACCACAGTCGTCCTCGCCGTCGCCGTCGTCGTCGTCGTCGTTAACTACAGCGGGCCTACGCAGCACACACGCACACACACACACACACTCCCATGGGCCATCTGCAGTGCGTCGTCGTCGTTCTCCTCCTCCTCCTCCTCCTCCTCCTCCTCCTCCTCCTCCTCCGCATCGTCTTTCTGTGCTGTGTGTAGCAATTTGGTCCCAGCGCTCCGCTGTAGCGGAGGCGCTGCTGTCCCCCTCCTACGAAGCGGCGCTGCTTCCGTCGCGCGTGTCGCCCTCTCGCTGGCGGCCGCCGGGCGTCGGCGCTAATCACCAGCGCAGCCGCCGTGTGTTTCCTTTTGGCTGGCGCCCACCCTGCGATTCGCCCGAGTAGGGAAACCATTATTCTAATCACGCCCCCCGCCGTGTTGTTATCAAGCACAAGCTGGCATTAATATCTGAAACGGAAGGGGATGATGATTGGCCGTCGCCGCCGAACGCAACCCCAGAACCCCGACGATTCAGTATCTTCGAGTCTCGGGACCACGGACCTCTCGACCCTCTCCCCGGGACCGGCTCGTTTTTTTCGACAGTCCCGCGGCCTCCAGAGGCCAAAGTGGAGAACAAACAACAAATATGGGGGGTATCTTCACATGGGGGAAGATTCGGTATGGAGTAATTCACCAAACAGTGCTTGCATTCAGGGTTTTTTTTTTCGTTTCTTCCTCTCAGGAATCGAGTCGGTTTGGGTTTGGCGAGGAGTTGCCACGTTAGCGCCCGTTGCCGCTTCCTTGCCGCCCCGTGCGCTGGGTGGGTCTGGCGAGGTTTCGCCACGTCACCGCCTCGTTGCCGGCTCGTTGCCGCCTTGTGCGTCGGGTGAGCCCTGTGAGGTGTCGCCGCGCTGCCTGCCGCCCGCCACCGTTTCGTTGCCGCCTTTAGCTTGCCCCGCGTATACTGCACCATATACCAAACAGCTTACACCACATCGCTTGCACCACATGCCACATAGTGTGCACACCCACCGTGCGATGCCAACTCTTGTTTGGGGCCCACGCTGGCTGACATCGCAGGAAAGATTCGAAGATTGCGAAGCATGTTTGGTTTGTGTGAGTCCATGGGTGTGCGGGGGGGGCGGCGTCGAGAGCTCGTGGCTCGGCCGTGAAATCTTCCAGGTTTCACGCCCGGCCCGTCTTCTTTCAGTTTGGAGCCCTTCTGGCGGGTTGAATCGGAGTTGCCCTGCCTCGTTGTTTTTCTTCCACATCGGGCTCCATATTTAGCACGGTCGTGGTTTCATCTAACCATCCCTGTTTCACCATTTTGCCAACGCGCCTCTGACGTATCTGTGTGTCTGGGAGGTTGCGGTGGCCCAGCACTGGTTCGGGCCAGCAGAAGGCGGGGCAAAGGGCCCCACCTCGTCGCCGTGGCTGGACGCGGCTCGAAAAACTGATCAGTCTCGAGCTCAGGAGGGATCCGGAGATTGATTTTGAACAGATTTTCTTTCGACTCCCCACTCTTGACCGATTTTCTCTGGGCCCATCCAGTGCACACCTCAGACACCCCGGCTGCTTCCAACTTTCAACACGTCCCCTGCCTCCCCCCTTGTCTGCGCACATGCCTTGGATTTTGATGCGCTAACCCTCCCTCTTCCTGGGCACCCCCCTCTTCGGCGCACCTTGGTAATTGAGCCTGCGGAGGGTTGATGATGTTGGTCGGAGCCCCTCTCCCCCAGGTGCTCACGACTGCACTGACGTACTCGTACCCGAAGGGCTCCACTGTCGTTAAATTCGCCGAGCAAGAGAACAACGCCACTCTCAGCGCCGGCACCGCGTCAACGCTGGCTAAGGTTCCCAGCGGCAGCTCTGGCGTCGACAGTATCATCGATGCCAGCATCAGCGCCAGTACGATCAGCCTACGGCGGCAGTTGCTGCGGCGGGAGGACAGCGTGGAAGACTACTAGGAGAGGGCGCTGGGAACGGAAGACTCCTCGTCCTCTCCACTACTCGTCCCTCCTGCATGTTCCCCCTCGCCCTCCTCCTCCTCCTGCTCTGTCTCCTTCTCTTGTGCGCGGTGGTTCCTCCTCTTCCTTTCGGTCCTCGCATTCCGGGCTTCCAGGCGATATACCGATGGCGCACCATGTACAAGTCGCGATCCACGCGTCATGTCCAGACGCCTCGCATGGCAGGGGGGCTGAGGCAGGGCGGGGTAAACGAGTACAGTCGGACCGAGTGTTCTTCGTGTTTGTTGGATGCTCTTGTGCACCCTGGGGAGGGTACCCTTGGATGTTCTTCGAGCTTTTTTCCGGTGGAGGGTCTCATTCCCCAATCAGAGCTTGCCTCTGTAGGGGTCCTAGCGAATTCATATGGTTAGGTGAGGTATGGCGCCGATTTCGGCGGCACGCCCAGGTGCCCAGGTGCCCGGGTGCCTTGTAGCCCTAAAGCCCTATAGACTTATAGATTTATAGTCCAGCCCTATAGCCCTATAGTCCTATAGCCTTATAGCCCTATAACCCTATAAGCCTATAGCCCTATAGCCCTATAGCCCTATAGCCCTATAGCCTTATAGCCCTACAGCCCTATAGCCCTATGTCTCTATAACCCTATAGCCATATAGCCCTATAGCCCTATGTCCCCAGAGCCTTTATAGCCCTATAGCCCTTTAGCCCCATGGCCCTGTAGCCCTAAAAAAAGATTCTGATGGGGTTGTCTCTGGTATCATGTTCTTGAAGGATGCCCTACGCTCCTAGGTCCGACTGTAAGGGAACGTTGCCCAGCCTATACGTCGGATGGTGCCCGGTCGGAATCTGAGGGGGGGGTGCGACAGACGTGAGGCCGAAGGCCCCCCGCTGGGAAGCCGACGTGTCGCGCGTGTGGCTGCGCGTCCGCGGCGCGCTCGGGGGTTGTCCTTCGGCTGTCTCGCGGCTGTCCAGTGCGGCCGTCCAGTGCCCGCGGTTGGTTTATGCGGTTGCTGCGTGGTTTGGGGGCCCAGCGAATACACACACCACCACCATTCCGATTCCTCCTCTCTCCTCTGTCCAGCGAGAGGGCGGGGGGGAGGGTGGTGGTGGTGGTGTATATTTTTGGGCCCCCCATGGTTGTCCCGTGGACTTTCCGCGAATTGCAGGGCCTCGAGCTCAGAGTGGTCAGAAGAGATGAGAGGGCCAGGCGTGCTAGAGAGAGTGATGTTGCGCGAGAAGCAGAATACTGAAGTAGACGGGCCAGAAGAGTTATGATACTCAGAAGGGTTTGTAGAATCATGCGAGGTTGTATCGCTTGGTCCGCAGGAGAGGTAAAACTCTGGGAGCCAGATAAGGTAGAAATGGGCACAAGATAAGCGAAAGAGCCGCGACAAGAGTGTTAGTATAGTTCGAACAGTTGACATAGTTCACAGCTTACCGGAGGTAACTGAGAGGAGCTTGATAGTTAAGCCATTCTGACGGCCCACAAGAGTTAGGCAGCACATGAGCAGCATTGATATGTAGCCTAGACGTGCAGCTTGAATGCCTGACCTGCTGTGACGGTGCATGCCAGTTTCTCAAGGCTGTGCATCTGAATGGTTATCAGAATGATGTTGTGTGTTGGGCGTTCCTTCAAAGTGCTTGTCGCATCACCCCCAAGGACGACCCGATGATGCTTCAGCGGATCCAGAAGTGAGCTAATTCCACGGGAACCTCTCCAGTGGCTGCCAGTGTGCCCGGCAACTGAGCAAACCGTTCGGGGCTTCATCCACAGCGCCACCCTCGGATCGAACCTTCGGTGGCTGACCCGAACGTGAGCTGCGCCTCAAAAAAATTGGATCGGCGGTGCACACATTCGCTCACAAGTACTAATGCCGTTACTATTCCCTCGTTTTGCTCGTCGTGGGGTTCCTTGGAGGCCCTCGTCGCCACCGCTGGATTGGCCTTGAAATTCCAGTCAGAACGCACCCTTGGAGACGTCCGGGGAATAGCGGTACCGGCAACTTTTGGTTTCAAAGTTTGCCAGGGTGTACCCCGTGAGGCCGTTTTGAACGGAGTTGGGCCAGGCGGGATGGCCGCTGTTGTCTCAATTGGCCTTCGTCCAGGTAACGTCGCCATGCCCTCGCTCGGCTACACGTATGGGTGGTCCGTCACCAGTGTGACCTTCGGTGCGCGGTTTTCGGGGGGTGCGGCGCACCGATCAGCAAGCCGCACTCCAAAGGTCACTCTTGCCTGGGGTCACTCATGCGCGTGGCCGACTCTCGCGCAAGGCCCTTCCATTACCCGCCGGTCACAAAGCGAGCACGCTCTGCACCGTTCGCCGTTTGGGCTCAGACCCTCTGAGCCGAGGCGCAGTGGCCCAAATCGGAGGGCACCGGCCATGCCCCCGCACCGATCCTCGCCAGGTTTTGCCTGGGCCAAGGAGCGGTGTGCACGCCGTCCTGCCCAAGCCAGGCGGGCGTATACACCGACAGGCGCTGGAAACATAGAAAAGTCACACACGCGTGCCACGTTATATTCCTCTCCCCCCCGTGTTCAGTGCTGGCGGGGGATCTGATATGCACTTCGCCGCGGTCGTCCCCCGACGCGTCAACTTTGACTCTCGGGGGAGGGGGGGGAGGCGCTCCCTAATGGTTTCCGCCTGCGTACCGGACTCTGGGCCCAGGATGGGCCTGGCCATGATCGGTGTAGGTGTACAGTTGGCGCCCTCCTGCCAAAGCCCGCTCCCAACAGTCGCTGAGGGCGGCGCTCTCGCGGCGCAGCCGTGTGGCCTTTGGCGGTGCTGAGCGGCCTGGCGCCGAGATGGACGACGCGGCTGCCGGCCGAGCGGCGAAAGCCCACATCTGCGGAAGGCCAAACGTCTCCCCGAGGGCAGAGGTGCCTTGGACAACGGATCCTCTCGCTGATCGTCAGGACGTGTGTGGCATGCGTCGGCCGTCGTTACCACATTTTCGTCGTGTCGAAGGGTTTCGGTGGAGCAGCACGCGTTGGCGCTAACACGCGTTCTGAGGATCATCGGTCCTCAGAGTGGGGGTGGTAATGTCTCTGGCTGCTCACAGACAGCCCCCCATGCAACAGTCCTGGATGGCCTCAACGGGCCCCCGAGTAGCCTTGAGCGGTCTAGGCACCTTGGCCCCGCTTCGTTACCCGAGGAGCTGTTTGCTGTCTGTGCGCACCCCGGCGCCTTACCACTCCAGGGGCCAGGCCTTGGCGCATGCCAGGGCTGGAATCGTGGCCCCAGGGCGCATCACCTGTGTTGCGTCGCCCTTGGGGGACGTATGGACCCTCCCGGCGTTCGGTATCGTCTAACCGATCCCCACCCTTATCGGGCCATGGTATCTCAACCCCACCATCCATGTCCCCCAAGTTCGGGATATGCCTTGCGAAACCCGAAGGGGGCATGATATATATATATATATATATATATATGTATATATATGTATATATGTATAAATCCCCATCTGGTGGGGTAGATTCCCAAAACGGTGCTGGCACTGAGGGGTTCTTGCTTCTGGCTCTAACGGAACCGGGCGTGGCTGTTGGTTTGGTCACGGCCCTGTGGTCGCCGCCGCCGTCCCGTCGCGGCCTCGTCGCCGCCCGTCGTCCAGGCCTGGCTGTTGGTCTGGCGGCTCCGTGGTCCCCGTCGCAGGCCGCCATCTGGGCCTGGTTGTCGGTCTGGCGGCTCCGTGGTCGCTTTCGCCGCCCCGTCGCAGCCTCGCTTACATTTTTTCTTAAGAGAATTAGGACCCCCCCGAGGCCGGGATTCTGGGCCTGGGTGTTGTTCTGGCCGTTCATTTGGGCCTGGGTGTTGTTCTGGCGGCTCTGTGGTCGCAGCCGCCGCCCCGTCGCCGCCTTGTCGCCGCCCGTCGTCTGGACCTGGCTGTTGGTCTGGCGGCTCCGTGGTCGCCGTCGCAGGGCGCCATCTGGGCCTGGGTGTTGGTCTGGCGGCTCCGTGGTCGCAGTCGCCGCCCCGTCGCCACCTTGTCGCCGCCCGTCATCTGGGCCTGGCTGTGTGCCTGGCGACTCCATGGTCGCCGTCGCAGCCCGTTCATCTGGGCCTGGGTGTTGTTCTGGCGGCTCCGTGGTCGCAGTCGCCGCCCCGTCGCCGCCTTGTCGCCGCCCGTCGTCTGGGCCTGGCTGTTGGTCTGGCGGCTCCGTGGTCGCCGTCACCGGCAGCCATCTGGGCCTGGCTGTTGGTCTGGCGGCTCCGTGGTCGCAGTCGCCGCCCCGTCGCCGCCTTGTCGCCGCCCGTCGTCTGGGCCTGGCTGTTGGTCTGGCGGCTCCGTGGTCGCCGTCACCGGCCGCCATCTGGGCCTGGCTGTTGGTCTGGCGGCTCCGTGGTCGCTTTCGCCGCCCCGTCGCAGCCTCGCTTACATTTTTTCTTAAGAGAATCTATAGGACCCCCCCGAGGCCGGGATTATCGGTCCCCCCCTGGGGATGCGCAATTTACATATGGTCCGCTGCTAAGCAAAAAACAAGGCGATATGCACGCACATTCGTTTATCCAAAAACTCCATGTGCGAAAATCCGCTGCAACAGAGCAGAAGGATGAAGTGCACACGCGCGCGTCGTCGCGCGCGCATGCCGGACCCCGTCAAAAACTTTAAGTGCCATAAGAGATTCAGAGTTACATGGCCCGAACACAAACTGAATTCTTATGAAGTCCAGCTTCCCCGCGCAAACTTGCGCGAGCCAGCCTACAGCAATGCGCCAGCCACCGCCAAGCAGTAATGGCCATCGTCGCTGCAGAATGTGTTTTGCAGACCTATTTGCGGGTGGGTGCGGCGATTGCTCGAGCAGGGGAGTTTGGCAACCTCAAGTTTGGCAGTGTGATTTGCGCCGCGTCAAATGCACTGCATCTATTGGGCCGCATAGACTACCAGGTAGATTCCCTGTTCTTGAAAAATATGAAGGCCCCCCCCCCAGAAGAAACGGCTTCCCCTTCCGTATTGCAATCTACAGACGATTCTGCCTGATCGTCC